GTATTTAAAAGAAGGGTAGATGAGGTGCTTAGGGACATGGTTTAGTGGTGGGATGGCAGGGTTAGGTTAAAGGTTGGGCTTGGTGATCTTGAAGGTCTTTTCCAACCTAGATGATTCTATGATTCGGGGATAATTAGCCGCAGAACATCATTCGTAACTGTGTCAAAATTTTAATCATTCAAAAAATAAAGCTTCTCTTGTTTAGCTCCTTTCTGCAGGCTTTTAGGACTTTAGCTTAAAGCAGGTGGGTTTCTCACCTTGTTTCCTGTGTTTTCTCTGCACTCTTGCTCAGGAAAATATTTCTTTAAGAAGAAAGAGTTGCCCCACACACGCGTTTCCAACAAAATCTGAACCTCTGGATCCTGAGCTGACTCAAGGTTGTTTAACTGTGAGTTTATCACAGCTTGTGCTGTTCTGCAGCCTCCCAAGCCACACCATTTCATGGTCCTTGTGATCCTAGATGCCTTCAGTCTCACACTTCCATTAATTTTTTTATTCCAATTAAAATCAGTAAATTAAATTGGAATAATCTCCCCAGGGAAGTGGTTGACTCCACCACATTGGGCACTTTCAAGACACAGCTGGACAGGGTGCTGGGCTCTTGCCCAGAAAGGTTGGACCAGATGATCCTTGAGGTCCCTTCCAACCTGGGATTCTATGATTCTATGAAATCAGAGATGTAAAATACATTCCCTTCAGCTGATTTCTCTATCCTCTTGCAAAAATGTGCCCATGCCTCAAGCATGGCAGACAGGCTATGTCATGCCATATTGCTTTGCCAGCAGACATCCAAGATAGCAAAAATCCCCTAAGGCTGCCAGGTCCTTTTGCTTTGGTTGGTTCTGCAATGCTTCACAAAACCCCTTCCCCCCTCTCTGCCCCATTTGGTTGTCTGCGAAAGAAACCTCCTCCTGCAGGAGCGGAGCACCCATGTATCCTCACCTCCACGGTGAAGGCAGCTGCGCTGCTTTCCCATTTTATAGTCAACAGAGATGAAGCAATTAGCCAAGGTAAAAAAAGAAATCCACAGCAGGCCAAGGGGCTGAGTCTGAGCAAACAGCGTAACCTCCAGCTCACATTTACGCTTGTTCTTCTCCTACACATATACAAACAGATTGAACATTTGACACTGAAAATGCAAGAGTAATTCATATAATCATAGAATCACAGAATCATTTAGGTTGGAAAAGCCCTTTAAGATCACCAAGCCCAACCATTACCCCTACCCCTGCCATCCCACCACTAAACCCTGGTCCTAAGTACCTTGTCTGCTCGGCTTTTAAATACACCCGGGCAGAGCCTGACCCCCCCTGGCTCCCCCATCCTCTCAGGCAGTTGTAGGGAGCAATGAGGTCTCCCCTAAGCCTCTTCTTCTCCAGGCTGAACACCCCCAGCTTCCCCAGCAGCCTTGGGCTCCAGACCCTTCTCCAGCTTTGTGAGCGGATCTTGGCATAACACCTCTTCCGTAGTCTGCTTGGCTTGCATGACTATTCCAAAAAGGAAAATACAGATGCAAAACCCACTGTAACACCATTGGCCAGGGCTGCACTCACTCTCCTGGGGCACAAGATATTTCCAGAGGCATCCCAAGGCCTTTTGCAGCTCACTCGTTCAAAGGCGAAAGGCCAGTCCATCTAAAGAAAATTGAAAAAAAAACCAAAGTGAACAACAAAATTGAGACAAATCATTCCTCTTTTTCTCATTCAATAGAATCTGACCTAAGATTTGAAATGCTTTATTCTGGAACTGAAATGGCACGTGCTCAAGGCTTCCTGGGTTTTATTTCAGATGACCAGTAGCCACATTACCTTGATCATTTATTAACTAAAGTAATTGAATTATAACTTGATAGGCTAAATATAAATTAACCAAAAGCATGCATTAATGCATGGTGCATGAAAAGTCCCTAGCCATGACCTTTCAAATGGGTGGAGAAAGGCAGTGCTGGAGAAAGGACACACAGTGACACGCCAATGAAACAATTAATTTAGAGCAAATATTAAGAGAGCATTTAGATAACCACAGCTTCCTCTCCCCTCCTGATACTGTCGATTTCTTTACAATTAATCAGTTATAATTCATCATGTTGATGCACATAATCTATCTTTGCATAAGCTAACAGAAAAAAACTCTTGTCAGCTTGATTTAAACATTTTGGGATAGAGCTTCCTATCTCAGTGACATTTTCTTGTACCAAGTCCTGTTCCTTCTGGTCAGCTCCACAGACCAGAGATGAAGGCACTCAGGTTACAGCTCAGTTTTCAGATGTTGCTGTAGCGAATTTGAGTAACAAAACTCATTTGCAGTCAGCTGCTTGCACGCCTGTCAATCAGTCACAGTGCTCATGGTATCAAAAGATGATTATGTCCGGCTCAAATTCAATAAAACCCAAGGCTGTAGTTGAATCGCATCTTAAAAGGTAAGCCCAGTTTTTGCTAGCATCAACCAGTAAAAACACGCACTCACCTAATTAATACACGCTTCTTAGAGCACCTCAAATCGCAGTTGTATCAACCGAGGTTAGAGCTGCACGTTATCAATATATTTTCACAGGGCTGCGTTACATTTTCCCTTATCATCACAGATGAGATTTGTAAGGATCTGGGCAGTTGGGCAGCCAATGAAAACAGGGTTGATAGAGCATGAAGGGTACAAGATCAGAGGCCAGCTGGGAAAAGCAGATGTTTTACCCAGCCCAGAGGAGCTACAGAAGAGACAATTACAGTGCCCACCTCTCAAAAAAAGCAGCTGTTTCCTTCTCCTCTGCCCACTGAGCATCATTTTGTTCTTCACCAAATTCCCTGGAATAATTAAAGAGCATTTACATCATGCCAGCGTTTACTTTGCTGTTTAATGACATCACGTACCCTTTAATGGAATGTTATCAAAACAATTTGATAGGCGAAGCAATCCAGGCAATCCTGTACAATTGTAGTAAAGAAAGTCAAATTAATGCATTAAAGAATGGATTAAGAATAAAATGGCTTACAAGCATCTTGGTTACCAGCAGCGAGTTTCAAAGGGCAGCAGAACAAAACCAACGCAATCTTCCAGCTGGGACTGGATCTAAACCACTAATCCCAGTTAGCGCAATGCCTTTTTTAAGACATGCTCTTATTTAGTGACAATAACTTCACATGCTTGACATACAGTTTTTCCTCCCACTGTTTCATAGAGATATATAACCCTAACTATAACGATGGAAGGATAATAAATTAACCTCCCCCAAACAGCACAAAATGTGTATTCTTCATGTTGTAATTCTGTAAATCCTGGCAATTATTAAATATTCAAAAAGAAATGGATAGCAAATACTGGAACAGACAAGGCACCACCATTCATCAGTGGGTGTATGTACATTTTTTATCCCAGTCATTCATTACATACACGTAGTGCTTATTACAAACCTCACACACACAGAATAAAGGTATCAAAAATAGCAGATTAACAAGCTGGGAAGTGTCCCACACTTTAACAGTCTCGCTGTGTTAGATCCCAAGACAAGTCTGGGTCATGGGGTTTACATACAGTAATAAATAGCATTAGAGCTGATATGATGATAACAACAACAACTACAGTAAGTGTTGTTAGCCCTCAAGGGATAATATGAGGCAGTCCACAAATACTCGTGATTTAATCTAAAAAAAAAAAAAGTTACATCAGGCATAATCTGAACACGCCCCCCTAAATCTACCAGATCCAAGATTCAACTCTACAAAGATTCACAAACCTTTCAAAGCTACAGGCATATTAATGAAACACCTCTGCAAGTGACATTTTGTAAGGCAAGACAGTAGGTGGAAAAGGAACAAAGAACTGAAGAATGAAAAGCGGCCTCGTACAGATGAAGAGCTATGCCATATCAGCAAAGACGTTTTTGCCCATGAAAACCAGCACACACCTGTTTGTTCCTGCCAAAATTATGCAGGTAACACCACCTTTTAACAGAAAAAAACATGGAATTCTGAAGGGTTTTTCCTATTTTTGTTCATGTGACTAATGCGCGTAAGTGCCCCATCTTTTACGCAGAGACCTTTATTTCTCTGAAATTATTTTCCTTGTTCGCATCTGACCAAACAACATGTAAAAAAGCCCTCCTAAAATACAAACATCAGTGCTCTTCTGCTTCTCACAAGCAACAGCGACAGCACGAGTTCAGAGATGCTGTGCATAAGCAAGGACAGCTCCTAGAGATGAAGGCCTTCACTGCGAAACACGCAGCGATGAGGTTGCAATGCAGGTCATCTGCCTTCTCAAAAACAATATTAAGCATCTCAATTAGATTACACGTGCTGCAAAATTGATTTAATATTATGTTGTGCTATTCTCTTTAAAGATTTAATGGAAAGAGGCAGAGAAGGAGAAATCTTCCAAGGTAAGCAGCTGCTCAGAAAACATTGTTGAATTAGAATTAGGTTTATTACTGTTATAGTTTATTACTATTGAATTAGGTTTATTACTTTTCTAGTTTTCCTCAGTGCATTCCTTTGCAAGGCTTTTACAGCCATTCCCCAATATAATTTATGTACAGTTTGGAGCTCTAAATACTGTAAAAACAGATGCAAAACATTAATGATGGAAAGAAAATTATGTGATCTCTCAATAGTTAGATGTTGTTGTTTGGGTTTGGGGGGGTCTTGTTGGTTTTGATTTTGCTTTTGTTTTTTACAGTCCCCTCTTACCCAACCAGTACTCGTCATGATGGCCGTTTATAGCCGAACCAGTCATTGCTGCAACCAGGAACATTTAGAGCTCCTGCTTTTCCATTCTAATTGATGTCTTGTGTAGTTAACCTTCCTTGAAACGCTTCCTAAATCCGCAGGATGACCCAGGTTGAAAGGAGCCTCAGGATGTCATTCAGTTCCACCTTCTGCTCAAAACAGGACATACTTGTGAACAAACTTTGTCAAAGTATTTTGGCTTAAAAGCTCCTAAAGCACTTAGAGACCACAGAACATTCTACCTTAAAATTGAAACTCCTGAGAAACTACCAACTTAGAAACATTCACAGGGTTCCCTGAGCTGGAGGGCTCCCGAGATCTCCCCCAGGTCACAGGGGCCCCCAGGCACACACTGATCAACCCCAAGTTTTCCACCTTTCTGAATCACAGATGGAGAAGCAGCACTCCTTGGGTAGGCCGAGAGAGCTTTTTCAGCTCACCTTCCTGTGTCTGCAGTTAAGAATTCCCATGCACAAATCTGATGCACAAAGGATTACAGAGCTCCAAAGGCAGCTTGACAAGCCAACTACATGAGGCAGAACATTGCCAAGCCACCTTCCCTCTCAGCCTTGCAGCTCAGGCAACAAAGATGAGTACCAGCCCCACAGGTTGGTTTCACACTCAGTTGAAAAGTTTGGGATTCAAGAGTAATTCCTTACTTGTTTAACCAGTAACATCATTGTCTTTGCAGATTCTTGCATCCCTTTCTTCGCTGCTGCCATGTTCTTCCCTACAGAGCGTTTTCCAACACTCTAGCCAGTCACGTTCCTAATTGCTCAAAACATGGGGCTCGTGAGGTTTACCATTTTGCTTGGTACTTTGGTCTCCAGCCAGCATTTCCCATTATCCAGTCTCACCACATCACTATATTGCCACTAATATAGGTCTCACTCCTAGCAGCCACCCACTCGTCTCAGGCCAGAAGCTCCCACGGTTCACTTTCTTTGCACCTATGCTTTACTACGACCCATATTCACTTTACATTTGTATGAATTTTCATGTTTTTTTCTTCTAGAAAAACGCTGAACCAAAGACATCTCCGAAACCAAGGCCCACACCAGCTGCTGACTGCGTGCCAAACTTCAAAACCTGCAAACCACACTTGAATTCATGTTGTAACTACTGTGCTTTGTGCAAATGCCGAATTTTTCAGACCATCTGCCAGTGTCTAATGTTAAGCCCAAAGTGCTAACCCAAACTGGAATACAGTAAGGCTTCTGTCTTTCATTAGCTTCTCAAGTATGTATTTCAAACTGCCCCATGTGTATAGCAACCAAAGTAGAGAGCTTTGAAGCTGGAAGCTTGGATTTGCCCCTCTTAAAATTAAATGGACAATGTTCATAGGGATTAATGCTACCGTAGACAGGATGTTTTTTCAGGGAGCAGACAACCAGGGAGATTAACACTGAACGAGTATTTTTAGCAAAACTGACCTGCATTTTAAGAAGAATTCTGGGTTCTTGTTGGTTTGGGTGTTTCTTGTTTGTTTGGCATTTGGGGTTTAGGGTTTTGGGGGTGGTTTTTTTTTTTTTTTTTGAAGGGTCATATTAAGCACAGACTGCAGTATTGTCCAACCAGCACCACAAAACCCTCCCCAATGGCATGGCAACAGCCACACTAAAACAGGACTGGTTAATCCAGGGAGGGACCAAAGCTTGGGTTTGCCCACAACGACAGCACACCAGCTTCCAGCACAGCCGAAATACCACGCTGAAAATGCAGGTTTCGGGGCTAACTCCCTTTTCACACATTCAGCAAATATCAGGATGAGAATGTATATATGTTATCCTACCTGAAAAGACAGACCCAAAACAATACGGCAATTTTTCAATCATCCCCAACTGAGCATCAGTACCTCCTCCTCCAGGGTGTTTAGTCATTCCACCAGTAACCAGTATCTCCAAGGTGTATGATATACATGCATATTTGAACCCTGAATGTATCTGTGCCTCATGACTTAAAAATCAGACTTTTTCCCCAGCTGTATCCATAGGAAGAGAGTCCTCAACCCTTCTTCTCCTGCTGCCAAGGACACAGTGCATGTAGAGCCCCAAAGCAGGAACACATATCCAGGAATTTGAGGAAGAAAGGAAAGGCCAGCAAAAAATGAACACATAGCCCACACACACATCTTGCAGAAAACCATTAAGAGCAATCGGTCAATCTCTCCTTGCTCATTCTTACTGTGGGCAATTCCCAGCACCTACCTCAAGTGTGAATTTAGGTGGCATTCTCCATGTGCTGCATGCAACCAGTGACCATGGGGAAAAAAAAAAAATGATCAAATGCTCTATCAACCCTTAAGGGCTCAGAAATAGCTCTGACATTATGGATGAAGCTCAACACAGCAGCAAACAGGTGTCTAGAAGACACCTCTCTCCTGCTCTTGAAGCTCTTTGTCTTAATCTTGAGTTATCCAAGATGGCACAGGAGGAAACCCCTGTGGTAGGTCACAGGAGAGCAAGGAGGGAGCAGACCCAGAAGCTGTCCCCAACATTGGTGACTCTTCATCTGCCAGACCCCAGCTCATGCTTTTTCCCTCCTCTGTTCTGTATCTAAAGTGTTCCTCTCCACTCCTGTACGCTCTTTTTTCTTCTGCAGGCTTTTCTTGATTTTAGTATTTTTCCTTCATCCCACTGCTCTTGCCAGGCACTGCAGGAGCCATGTGTGCTCACGGGGCTCAAACCACATCTTCCACGCTCACTGCATCTGCCTGCTAGACAACCGCACCAGTGGCCCTACCACTGTTCTTCAGCTTTCACCATCAGGTCTTTTCTGACCATGAATTTCTAATCCCAATACTGAATTTTCTAATGCTCTGTGCAGGTCTAATTGAAAGAAACTTTCTTTACTGATTTATTTCTAAGCACATCTGAGGGCTACAAAAATCTTCCAGGCAGGCAGAGATGGCACACGTGACACTCCAAAGAGGCTTAAGCCATATGAACTTTTTTTTCTTCTAATACTCAATCCAAAACCCAGAGATTAAATCAAAGGACAGATGTTGACAGAAATGTTTATTCATCTTAGATATATTTGTATGACAGATTAATCTAAGAAAGAGCCCAAATGATGACAGGGTGCCATTGTATTCCTTATCCTTTATAAAATACATCAGCTGTCATATATGCTAAAAGCTTGAATTCTTTAAATGTATATAAGTATGGCTTTTAATCAGATATCCTGGCTCAGGAGTCTGTAAGCCATTCATTTATGATAAAAAGAGGATGAGAAGGAAGAATGGTACATTACAATGGGCTTAGGTAAGTTTACTAGGTAAAGCTATGGGTTTCCATCAAGATTTTTTCAAAATTCTCACAACTATAAGAAATTGTCCATGGTTGATACTAAAATCATATCAATAATGTCACAACAACTTCTCTTCTGGAAAAAATATTATTTTCTTAACAGAATGTCCAGTTGGTCAGAAAAATTGTATTTTACTAGGGTGGAGGGGAGTAGGAGGAGAGGAAAGAGAAGGAAGGAGAGCCAGGAATCAAAGAGCTCTTCTCCAGACAACAGCTCCCACTCCAGCTTTGCGGAATCACAGAATGGCTTCCAGAGGTCCCTGCCAACCTCAGCCATCTAGTCCAGCCCTCTGCTCGAGCAGGGCCACCTAGAGCTGGTTGTCCAGGGCCATGTCCAGGTATGTCCATGTCTCTCTTGTACTGGGGACCCCCAATATGGACACAGCACTCCAGGTGTGGCCTTACCAGTGCTGAGCAGAGGAGAAGAATCACCTCCTTAGCCCACTGGCAAGTCCTTCCAATGCAGCCCAGGATGGCATTTGCCTTCTTCGCTGCAAGGACACATTGCTGGCTCACGTTCAGCTTGGTGTTCACCAGGTCCTTTTCTGCACAGCTGCTTTCCAGCTGCGTGTCCTAGCATGGGTTCATGCATGGGTTGCTCCTCCACAGGTGCGGGACTTGGCACTTCTCCCCATTGAACTGTGCGAGGTTCCCCGTTTCTCCAGGCTGTCACAATCCCTCCAGATGGCAGCACGACCCCCTGGCACATCAGCCACTCCTTCCACCAGGTGGAAGCACCACTAACGAAGATCTTGGCCACAGCGTGTGGCTGTCAGCTCAAGGACATGGAAAGTGCCGAGAGCCACAATGCGGAGCTAGAGCCGGGGAAGCTAAACTGGCAACGTACAGGATGGTGCATGAATGGAGGAAAAGGAAAGATGCTTTCATATAAAAATAAGGGGATTTGGTTTTCTTCACATAAGCACATACTTTTAAATATAACATTTCTATGTAGTGTATTCTGACAAATTTGATGTATTAATAAGCCTTTTTTTTGTAACTGGAATTGATTAGGAAGAGGTTATGCTTTCTTTGCCATTCATCTATCACACCAAAGAATATATAATCAAGTACTCTGAAATTATTAGCCTTAGTGACTTTATTTTTCTGGGTAAAGAGCACATTGCATGAGGTATTGATAGGTTACAGAAATCAGTAAAAGGTGTACAGCTGATATTTGCTTCCTGTATTTAGTTTGACCAGATGTTTGTGTTGAGGAGTTGTTTGCAAGCGTCAGAGTTCCCTAAGGGACCTCTCTGAAATGTCATTGGCACTCAGATGATAAAGCAGATGCACAACGAAGACGGAGTGTTTAATTTTTAGCTGCTGCATACCAAAGTGTCTCCACCGAAAGCTTATTGGAATTCAAGCTCAGAGACAGACCCAGTAATGCTCCGTGACAGAGTCATTTTGCTACTAGAGGCAAATGGAAATTTTACCCTAATTACAGCTTAGTAGGATTAAGCACAAATAAATCACTATTAGCTTTTCCGAATATTGCTTATCTTGTATGAATTTAAAACAGACACTGTATTTTCCCATCCAAAGTCCTGCTTGATTGGTTACTGTCACAAAGACCATAAAATCCAAGTTTATCCTGATGGATAAAACAAATAGTAAAACTAATTCCTTAATGACTATGCCAGACTAGCTCCAAACACCTCAAGGTTTTCCAAGCTGGTTACTGAAACTGAGAGAGACCCCAGCAGGAAAACAACTACTCCCCATGTCAGCCTTCAGTATCTCCTCACAAAAGGAAAAATTTGATGGAAGGTAGAACAACTTTTTTGAAGTTTTATAGATGAGTCAACAGCATCTGCAATGCTGCTTTGGCTGAGGGCAATGAAAGATTCAATAAAGCCCCCTGAGATGCAGAGATAGTGCTAACCTCATGATGAAATGAATTATAGAACCATGTGGAACTGTGTATAACAAAACTGGGGAGCTAAGGAGGAACTTGCACATGCCATGCCCAAAGCTGACTCTGTGGGAGCTCTATTTTACACTGCAAAAGTTACATCAGCTTAGTCCTACGGCAAATGTGCTTCTCTGAGTACCGTGGGACACACTATTTGTGAGACACTGCAGCCTTGAGGTCTCTCACTGTACGGGTGTAGACACTAAATGACATCCAAAGCCAAGGCAAAAAAAGCATCAAATCATAACTTTTTTCATCACAGCATTTCAAGTTGAATTAAACTATTCCATGGCCAGAAGTGACTCCATAAAGGTACTAAATAGACTAATGCAGCATTTCTTCACATCCAGCATCCTATTTAACTCAGGGACATGACCGAGTCGCAGAATCAGGACTGAAAAAGAAAATAATTAAAAACATGCTCCCCTAACAAACACATGAGCACTTCGCATTTTTCTCTGTCTACTTCTGAGCTCTGAACTGTTGTCCTTGTGGCGAGCCTTCTCCACATGGCTATCTCCAACACACAGAAGGAAATGCGTGGGGTTGGCCCACTAGGGTTGCTGCATTGCAAAATCCCAGTTGCCGCTGTCATAATACTTTCAATAGATTAGTCACAGACACTTAATTTCCAAACCTGAAAGTGCACAGCAAACAGCTACTCATTTCCAAACAGAAACATAATCTTAGATTTTTGCAGCATGTTTAATAGTTGAAAAGAACTAATGGCTCCCTGTGTCAGATGCAAACCACCTCGACCACCGCTTTTCTAACTGGGAATGAGACAGAGTCCCACGTCACTTTTGATGGGCACCCCACTGAAGGCAACAAGCAAAGTCCCCTGGTCTGCTAAAGGCTGCAGTTAGCAAGTCACACCGTAGTCATAACAACGCAACCGGGGGCATCACAGGTGGGCCCACACACGGGCAGTGCCGAATCTCAGCCCTCCAAGAGCAGTTCTTGTAC